ATCGATAGAGTCCAAAAGCGTCTCCGCGTCCTTGTGGGTGATGAATTATTTTCCACTCGACAACCCCTCTCACACAAGCGAAACGTCGAAATCCTGTAGCTGCTCAATCGCTATTTCCATGCAAAGTGTTCAGAGGAACAACATTCTTTAGTTCCACCAGTTCTAACCCTCACGACTAAGACCCATAATGCAACGCTCATTGCAGCGAACCATTCTCATTCCCTTCGTATTCCATTGGTGAGATGTAAGTTCCACTCAAGCAGCACCTTCCCTCGAATCGCTACTTTGTGGAACCGACTTCCAAGAAGACGCTTCTTCGATCACTACAATCTTAACTTGTTTAAGTCTATTGTTAGCCGTTATCTTCCCCACCTACCGCCTAAACTGTGCCTCCCACTATGTAACCCTCTACCTCGAGTGGCTCTTGGACCTTTTACAGGGTGAACATCATTTTATAAATAATCTCTTTCAGTTCTTTCCATGTTATTTTTTTTTACTTATTTATTATGTTTTTTCCTCGTTGTCTTTATTTTTCTTTCTTTCGTTAAATTACTGTTTACTTGATTTCATTTCTTATTGGTTGAAACTGTTGTCTATATTAAACTGTTGTGTTAGGATCCACCTAATTTGCATAGTGGAGTACCGACCATATAAATATGGTTGGTACCGGGAAGACGGGAGAGGAATCAAGAGATTCAATCCAGAGACTCTGCCCGACTGCGACTAAGTCAACACATTCTCCAGGAACGGTCTTCCCAGGTATATACAAAAGACTATATGTAAATATTGTGTACACTTTCTTGTTTCAATACATTTTGTTCTAAGTACATTTTGTGTTGTATTATTATTCCATGCATTAGTCAAGTTTCAACATAAACTAATAGATCTTACCAGAAAAATAGTAGTGTGTTTTTTCAACAACCATTAGTGGTTAGTGTTCGATCTCATTTGAAAGCAGGCACCGTTATTTATTTATTTTTTTATTTTTTTTGAATCGGCCTAGGAAAGCCCTTCGTTGGACCTACACCTTCTCCAGATCTTTTCCATCGTTTTGTCTTCTGGGGAGGAATGGTCTCTCTCTCTCTCTCTCTCTCTCTCTCTCTATCTTTTATTTTCCACTGACATCAGGTGGAATAAATACATTGAATCAATAGCTGCATCTACCGCAAGGAAAGTTGACTCCCTGTGTTGTGCCAGAAAGTTTTCCTCGTCTGAGTCAACCCTTCAAATCTAAAAATCTTCAAAATCAACCATCCGTCCTTGCATGGAATATTGCTGTCATATATGGTCTAGTGCTCCCACTGTACGTCTCGAAGTCCTTGACAAAATCCAGAGACGAATATGCAAGATGATAGGTCCTAGCATCTAGCCTACAATCCCTATCTCTGTCTCTTCTACAAATATTGTCACGGGAACTGTTCCAACGAACTACTTTTGCTGATTCCCGGACTACATGAATTTAAACGAGCTACCAGGCCGGCTTCTCGGTCCCGCCCTTCCACTGTCAAACAGCTTCTTCTCCCGCACTTCTCGTTTGTGGAATTCCATTTCCCTTACTTGCTTCCGCAATGATTATATCTTCAAATATTCAAATGTAATGTCAATCGACATATGACATCCTGAGTTTGTTTCCCGTCTTTCTCTGTATCCTGTCCTCAAAAACGCCTCTTTACTCCTGCTCCGACTTTCCCTCTCACGCCTTGCTTGGGGTGAATTGCCTGATAAAAAAAAATTATCCCTTTTCTTTTAGTTTCCTCACTTTTTATCTTCAAGATCTCAAGAAGACGCTTCTTCGATCACTACAATCTTAACCTGCTCAAGTCTAGCGTTAGTTGTTATCTTCCCCACTTATCCGCATAAATTGTGCCTCTTACTTTGTAACCCTCTACATCGAGTGGCTCTTGGGTCTTTTACAGTGTGAACATTATTGTAAAAAATAATCTCTTTCAGTCGTTTACTCGCTATTTATTTATTTTTTACTTATTTATTATGTATGTTCATCATTGCCTTCTTTATTAAGTTTGTTCCTCATAGATAATTGAGAAATATACATTAGATCGATAGATAGATAGATATTTGAAAGGTCTGAGATAGATAGATAGATAGATAGATAGATAGATAGATAGATAGATAGATAGATAGTGTTATGGTCCGGTTCCTTGTACCACGGTGATAGTCCAAGGTAGAACCAATAAAGAAGAACTCGAACACGGATATGGAATAACACAGATATATTACAGACATGAATACATACAGAGAAGTAGAAATTGTCTGAACGCGATTCTGTTCGGACTGCCTCTGACTCGACTGACTGACTCGACTGACTGACTCGCTCTTTCTGACTCACTGACAGACTCCTGACGGACTTCACTCCAGGCTTCAGACTGAACTCTCTGCTTCCTCTTGAGGCGCAGTATTTATTACGTATGGAATTGTCCATTATGTTATTATGGGTAAGGTTCCATAACAGATAGATAGATAGATAGATAGATAGATAGATAGATAGATGACAGGTCTGAGAAAGCTAGCTTCATAGATAGATAGATAGATAGAAAACTGGAATAGATAGATGGATAGATAGAATAATGCGTATTATTAGGGGCTTACAGCACCCGGTTCTCCCAAGCAGTCACCCATTTAATAATAATAATAATAATAATAATAATAATAATAATGCGTTAATAGACCGGAGAGCATAGAAATTATAGACACTTCAACCTCGAAGCATAAATCGGACAAGCAAAAAAGTCTTAACATCTGGAGTCAAAACACTATGAAAGCGTAAAAGTAGGTTTTAATACCAGAAATACTTTTTAAAAAAATATTACCAGTAATAAATTTTTGAAGGAAAAATTATTACCAGCAATACATTATTACCATCAATACATTAAAAAACAATCTCCAGCAATATATTTTTTGTAAAAATATTACAATATATTGTTGAAGGAAAAAAGTATTACCAGCAATACATTTTTGAAAAAAAAAATATTACCAGCAATACATTTTTGTAAAAAAATATTACCAGCAGTGTAATTTTGGAAAAATATCAACAGCAATACCTCTTTGGAAATATCCTATACTTACTTTGGAAGAATATTACCTGCAATAGATTTTTGAAGTAAAAATATTACAAGAAATCGATTTTTAAAGGAAAAATATTATCAGCAATATAAATTTTGTCGTCATTAAATAACCCATTGAAGTTTATATGCCGTAAAATCTAATCAAACCAAACCTAATCGCCCATGTGGATACTATCCTGGTTCAACATTACTTAACATCAGTGACTGGGCAAGAAACGGGGTTTCATCGTGATATGTCCGTACGCAGACACGCTCTATTTGTCACAACTGGATTTCTTCCTTTCAAAGTCCACTAAATCCTCTCCATTATCGCTTTCTGTTATGGTCCGGTTCCTTGTACCACGGTGATAGTCCAAGGTAGAACCAATAAAGAAGAACTCGAACACAGGTATGGAATAACACAGATATATTACAAACAGGAATATATACAGAGAAGTAGAAGTGTTAGTATGAACAATCAGGTTTAGTAGAGAGAACAATGTAGTCTCGACCAGTATCACTATTCCAATGTCTTGCAGTAATTGTCTGAAACGCGACTCTGTTTCAGACTGCCTCTCATTCGACTTTTGATTCGACTTGAACTACTAACTCGACTTGAACTACTGACTGACGATATTCAGTCACCCCTCACACACACACACACACTGGGGCAGCATGTGACACAAAGTCGGTTATTTAATGTGGGATATCCGAGCCCATAGGCTCGGCCCAAAAATATACCCATTGAACCCGTATAAACGGGTTCAGGGCCGGTTTACCTCCCCGAACGAGACTCCGCCCTTCGGCGTAGCATCGTTCGGGTTCCTCCCCGCCCGAAGGCAGAGAGTTCAACCGATCAGCCGGTGAACTACTGACTGACGATATTCAGTCACCCGCCACTGGGGCATCATGTGACACAAGGTGGCGTTATTTAATGTGGGATATCCGAGCCCGTGGGCTCGGCCCAAAAATAGGCCCATTGAACCCGTATAAACGGGTTCAGGAACGGTTTACCTCCCCGAACGAGACTCCGCCCTAATTTCTACTTAACATCAGGGTCTCTGGAGAAAGACGGCTCGGAAAAAACTGATATCCAGATGCAACCTACCTATAAGCAAAACAAAAAAGTCAATAAATATATATATTACTATATAACTCTGAAAAATATTTTTGTTTATTGATAAATATATAAGATTTATTACAAAATGTTTCATCTCATCTGATCATTACAACATGAGGCTTCAAATCCGCACGTAATTATAAAGATCTCTAGCTCTAATCTTAAAAAGCAGTAAATTCATACATTGGTCAAACAACCATGACATTCTCCCGTGGTTTAACTTGCTACTTATCTAAATTTAGTGCATTTCGTACGCATGTCGACGATAACAACACAGACATGCAAAATACACCTATGCACATAAGGAAATATGAGAAAATAATATTAAATGATATACAGCACTCACATTGAAGGAACACTCGAAATCCTCGAAGTTACAAAATGATATTATACACAATATTTTTTCACCTAAGGTGGTCAGCATTTTAATATTTTTAAAAGATTTAATATCTTCGTTTTCATATTTTAGAACTCTTAACGGACTACTTTTTTTTCAAAGCCTGTCTTCGGCATGATGTTGCTTGTATATGATATCCGATATTTAATTTGAAACGGAGCGTTCCCAAAGTGTCAGAACAAAACGAATAAAAACTTTTCTCTCTGGCATTGATAGTATTAACGTGTCATGTGAGAATTGGTCGAAGGCACTTGAACGAAAACATTATGAATTTGGACAGACTCTCCACAAATTGGATCTGAATTTGAGGTAATTTATATGTAAACTGGAAAGATGTCATAAAAATTGAAGAACACAAACGTTGTCAGTCGATTTCGATAGAACTTGTTTAAATGACTACTTGCTTTCGGTGAAATATACA